CACCTCATACAGAACCAACCTACGAGGCAGCAGAAACTTGGTTTTCAGTTAACAAAAAAGTGTCTGGACGATGACGTGGCCCTGCCATTTCCCCTGGCATGGCCCCTTCCCCTGAAACAACCCTCTCTGTTCCCTGCCCAGCCTCGGTCAGTCCAGTTCCCAAAGCCCCAGCCCCACTCACCTGACGTGCCAACGTGAAGGAGCAGAGGCAGGAGCAGCCGCAGGGTCCTGCCTGCCTGGGTTCTCTCCCTGGTGAGCATCTCCCTGGTGAGCGCCCAATGCCCGTGCCCTCCAGGGACTAGCGACTGAGTCAGGAGGCAAACTGCCTTCCCTTTGTCGAAATCTACTTCTCTTAATTTTGCATCTTCAGTTATTTCCTAATTTCCTTAAGTGGGAGAAAAGCAGTGTCATCGTGGTGCACGAGGAGCGTGATGATGTGTGTGGTTGTGGGGAAGCAAAGCGTCCAGGCCTGGCCAGGGTTCCACGCTGCAGGTGTGTGTGCGCACGTGCATGTGTGTGTGCGCGTGCGTGTGTACATGTGTGTGTGCGTGTGTGTGTAACTGAGAAAACAGATGCCAGCAAATCAGGGCATCATGTGCAGCGGGGCCCAGGGAGACATGCTCAGAGCTCGGGCCTGGGAGAAATGGAGACACTCGCACAGATCTGCACTTCGGAAAGATGCGGTGCTCAGGGCTGACACCCAGCCTCGCTGGAGGAACAGCCCTGGCTTCAGCCTCCCTGCCGGCAGCCCCCCTGCCCCCGCAGGGCTTCTGAGACCCCCCTTCCTGCCCTGGGCCATTGTCCCCCCCCCGTCAGGACTGCTTCCTCCCAGGTCCTGAGTCACTCTGAAGCAGAAGCCACACTGGGGAGATTATGAGGAAAGAGAAGTGGCCTTTTCCCTTCAGCCCCATTTCCCCTAGATGTTTTCCCTGCCCCACAAATATTTGTATATTTCACTGGCTGTGGGCTGTTGGCAAACTCACCGCACTGAAACTGCTTATTCTAAGTGACTCCCTCACACCTCTCTCATCTTCCTTCAGAGGTTCCTGTCCTTCCTTCTCCGTCACCTGCTCCCTCTCACTCTCCTTGCTCTGCCCCTCACCCCCGGCATCTCCTGCAGTCTGTCCTAGATGCTCTTCTCCCTCGGGGAGTGTCCCTGTCCCTCCCAGGCTCTCTAACATCTCCCCTGAGCACAGGACTGTGGCAAACACACCTGCTGCCACCCACACCTCCCAGAACGTGTCTCCGCTCTCGCTGTCAATGACTCTTGGCACTTGTGGAGACCTACTTAGCAGTTCGGACTAACTCAAAACGACATTCCTTGTCACCTTGTCATCTCCTCTCCTCAAATCGATCTGTCACAACATCTGGTCCATGGGCCTTATCGCCCGCCCCTATTAGATTATAGCCTTCCTAAGACAAGCCCACAGGGCCTCCTCCCTGTCACCTGTCACTCTCTGATGGCCTCGCAGTGTAGAGACTTGAAGGTGGAGCGCAGAGGGCTTTGCCAGCACAGCAGAAGAAGCGTTGGGCCCGTTCTCAGGAGGGCGGGGCGAAGGCAGAAGAGGCGGAGCATCCAATGCTTGCGATTCTGCTTGAGGGCGGAGCCTTCTGCCTGGGTTGAGGGTGAAGGTGAGGCCCGGCGCCTGCCGGGAGGGGTGGGGGCAGGACCGCAGGCGGCATTGGCCTGGGCCCTCCCTCCCTTTCTTAACAGTTATCGAGGTTTAATTGGGATAAAATAAACCGCGTACATTTAAAGCGCATAGTTTGAAACTTTTGTCTTGCTGTTTTTGTTATTTCTCGATGCAGTACAGTTCATTTTGTTGTAGAGTTTTAACATAAGCCTCGTTTCAGGGATCCATCACCTGAAACATACCGAAAGGTCTTTATGGATTCATTCCTGCGTGGCGGGCAGTCAAGCCAGTGAGGTAGAACACCAGGTGCTGACCTGGCTCCCGTGCACTGTGACTCCGTAGTTCAGCCTTCAGAACCCTTGAGGTGTTGTTGGGAACTGCCCCGTGTGCGCCACCTAGTGGCCACTCCATGACAAGTGTGGCGGTGTCCCTCCAGTTCACAGTCTTGGGTATTTATTCTCTTCAGGGTCTGGTCAAAAATGCACAGCTAGGGGTAAGACTGGGAGTTCTAGGTTCTCTTTCTTTTTTTCTTTCTTTTTCTTTTTTTGTTATCAAATTAGACGGCAAAGCATTACGTTTATTATGCAACAAACCTGTATCTCTGCTATAAGAATATACTATACGTCGACATTAACGGACCAAGAACTCATCACAATATTACCAACTCGCAAAAAACATTCTGAAAAGTTACAATTTAAAGCTCTATCTCATCGTGGTAAAATTTCTTCACACACAAAAAAGAGAAAAGAATCAAAGAAATGAAGGAAAAGAGGCTGCAACCAAAGTTCATGTTTAAGTGGCTCATTTGCGAGCCATGCAGGAAATTTAACATGATTACAGCAGCTGAAAAAATGTACCCAGAGAAAATAAACCTGTTTTAGACCATTAGCCTTTGGGTAAGAACAGCTGCTTAGAGTGTTGAGACCACTGGGAACAATGTCAATTGTCAATTTAAATTATTTAGTGAAGGCAAATTATTTTGAGTGGTTTTCCTTGGCTCTTAATCAGATGACAGGTGTCAGGATACTGTTCATTTGCTCCTATTTATTCAAGAAGCCAATGTTTGAAGTGACTGAAGAATTAGCCTCTCTGAAGAGACTGCATGAAACAGGTGAGAATATTTTTGAAGAAGCTGAGAAAACACTATTTCAATACACCTGAAGGGAAATCAGCTATGCTGTGTTACAATTTATGGAAGTAGAAACAGGTTTAGTTTGATAGATTTACACTTGTGAAAATGTATGTCTGGAAAGGTCTTTATTACTCCTTCATATCTAAAAGAGCGCTTTGCTGGATACATTATTCTTGGCTGATAGTTTCTTTCATTTAATAGTTTGAATCTTTGATCCCACTCCTTTCCAGCTTGAAAGGTTTGTGCTGAGACATCCAGTGATAATCTCATGGGTTTTTCTTTATAGGTTACTATCTTCTTTTCCCTGGCTGCCCTGAGAATTCTTTCTTTGTCATTGATGTTTGATAATTTTAATACAATGTGTCCTGGAGAAGGCCTTTTGGGGTTGAGATAATTGGGTGTTCTGTTGACTTCTTGAATTCCAAGCTCCAGCTCATTCCTTAGATTTGGGAAATTCTCATCAACTATTTGTCTGAAAACGCTTTCTAATCCCTGCTCCTTTTCCTCCCCTTCAAGAATGACTATTATTCTTATGTTTCCTGTCCTGATGGTATCAGTTAGTTCTTGTATTTCTCTTTCATTATTTTTCATTCTTTGGTTTCTCTCTTCTTCCTTCTGATTTATTTCTAGATTTCTGTCTTTGATATATCACTGGTCCTTTCCTCCACTTGGTCAATTCTATTTCCCAAGCTTGCTGTTTCATTTTTTATTCTTACAGTGTGTTCTTCATCTCCAGAAGTTCTATTTGCTTCTTTCTGAAAGTTTCAAACTCCTTGCTCTGCTCATCTAGGTGTTTTTTCAATTCCTGAAATTGTTGATATGACTCATTTCAGAACTCACTGAGTTTTTTCAGAAGTACCATCTTGAATTCCCTGTCATTTAAATTGCATATTTCTATGTCTGTAAGCTTCTTTTCTGGAGATTTTTCTCTTTCTTTCTGAGATGCCTTGTCACCTTGGTTGTTCATGGTGTTTAATGGGCTACTGC